ATCCATGGAGGTCAGTACAGCCATTTACCGCAGCCCTGTTTCATAAAATTTTGACTCTCATCCTGAACTTTTGAGATTGTGTGCTAGGTAACTTAAGTGCTAATGGATGGCAAGAATCAATGTATTTTTATTATATCGCAATCCCATTTGTTAGTGAAAGTATTAGAAAAGGCCGATAACATGAATATGCAGAGTTATGATTCACATAATTTGATTTTGTGTTGAGATGGAATGTCCAGTTGGAGTAATATCCTGGCATGCCCATCAGTTCTTGGTTATTAGGAGAACAGTTTCTAATAATGTTAGCAATTTTAAAGAGAACAACCCAGTTCTCATATTTCCTATTAACAAAGAGGTATCTTTAAAGGGAGTCAGGAAATACTGATTTATCTTTAAAGGGAGATATTGAATTTCACCCAAAAAACATGAAAAACTACATGTACTAAACAACACTTTTCTGTTCTCTGAAATCAGACACATTAGAATCTATGGCTCCTCCTCACGTTCATGAAAGATTGTTTCATGCTATATATTACTTGTCTATGCTACCTACTGTGGATTTCAAATCCCCAACCAATGGTAATTCTGCATCTTATCCCAAGCATTTTTTCCAGAGCCTAGCAGCAGTAAATTTTAAATTAAGGAACTGCCTTTTAAGAAAAGTTAATTTTCCAAAGGAGAATAGCAGCAACATTGATAAAGGTGTCATTTGTTACTTCATGAACTCAGAAATAGAACTTGCTCAAATAGGATATATCTGGTGAATGTTAGCTCTTTTAAAAGGGCATTTATATGCACAGGTCTCAGTTGCAAGGGTTAAAGTTGATTTTTAGCTGGAATTTCACCCATAACCCATAGAAGCCTTGCTTACCAGCTCCTTGAATTTACTGTAATATAACCAAGAATAATATGCAAAAGTCTGAGGAAAAATAAGCCTTAAGAATACCTACTAATTTTTCTCATTCTATAAAAGTTAATGCAACTAAAAATTAATGTAAAAATTTCCTGGTGATAAATAAGGAAGAAAAAGATGAGACTGTAGAGATCACACATACACAAAATACATATATAAAATACATTATATATATAAAGATTAACTTAGAAGAAATTTACATGCTATAAACTAAAATACAAAATATAAAGGTTAAATGATCTTTCACCAACCCTTCCCTTCCCCCAGCATATATGACAATGTTAAATCCACACCTGTCTCAGGTTAAGTGCCTCTTCCCTCTCACTCTCTCACAGGACACATGGGCATCGAAGCCCAACCCTTTTAACCAACCTAACCCTCCCTGCAGCTTCTTCTGTGCATTGCATATGAATGATGACAATACTAATCTTCTCCACAGCCTGCTCTACAACTTGAACAGAAGTCCAAAAGACAGAATTCTCAAGACATCAGGACAATTGCTGATAAGTATAATTTGAGTCCCTTCATGCAGATAAGGTCAGAATAACTCTAAAGTGCTCTGTTCACAGAGTTCTTGACAAAAAAACTATACCATAATGCACACACAATTAATGGCTCTACCCCACCCTTTGCTCTACATGGCATTCTTTACATTTTTTGTTGTTTCTACTGAGAAAAATGCAAAGTTGAAACAGTATTTTGTTTTTATATGGACACAGGAGGTTCTGCATTTCTCATTATTTCACTTCAAGCCTGTTGACATTATATTCATCTCTCAGATAGAACAGTTTATATAAACTCTTAGCCAGGGCCTAAAAGAAGAAGGAGAAATAGGGGTACAGTTGCATCAAGCAGCCATTTGATCACTCTCTCTTTTCTGTTTCCAAAATGGGAGACTAATGAATATGTATCGGACCCCCAAATTTCTCTCGTAGGACCTGCTCTTAGCACAGTGAAACCTATGTATCACAAAGCCCTGGGTTTCACTCTGGCTTGATTATACACTTCCTTACCTCAAGTCATTGCATACATTTCTTAGGGTACTCTTTAAGAGGTAGCCAGGTGGCTGCTGAAATTACCTCTAGATAGAGGGAGAAGGAGCTGATGGCTGGACCCTGAAACATTTCTGTTAGGTTACCACTGATGTAGCTCTTTACATTTTGTAGGAATTCCCTATAACTTGCAGCTTGATATATAATGTGTTTTTTGAAGCCCACACACAAGATAGTCTTTGCTTCTCTCAAAATGAATGTTCACTGAAAGAAGGTGCTAAAAGACATGATTATATTTTCTAATACAGGGCTGCCAAATGCCACTCTATGACCTATATCTGGCCTGCGAGGGATTAACATAAGGCTCATGGGCTCCCACCTGGCTGCTACCCACCCCCTCTTGTTCCTGCTGCAGAGGCCAGCATCTCTGGGGCACGACTGCATGGTTGGAGGGAGTCCAGTAAGCTCACTGCTTGCACAGTAGAGGGTGGTCTTTCACTGTTTGTGTGGGAATCAAGGTGAGGGTTTGCCTGAACAGTGGCAGCAGTGGGAGACTCAAATGGCAGTGGCAGGAGGGGGCAGCACAGGGGGCCCTTGGCCACACGGTGGTAGCAGCAGGATGGCTTGTGGCCCCTGGAGCATGCAGATCATTCCATGCGCAACCTAGGGCGTGCAACCAATGCAGTATGTTTGGCCTCTGAAGTTGTACAACCCCCTTCTAAGATATTCTAACCTATGGCTAATATAAAAGTAAAAGCCATTATTTTTCTCAGCTTATCTAGATTCATTTCTGCTTCATAGCTGCTTTGCAAAATAAACCAAAACTTAAATCCTTACCTTAAATTTGTCAACTTCTGCCTTTGAACACGTTGCATGGTAAGACAGTACCTGACCCAGAACAAAATGAAAACAATACATTTTTCTTAGGGGACAAGTAGAAATTATAGGGCTCCTTGATGCTGTCTAATAAATGGCTTTAAAAACACAATTAGGTAACAGTTAGGCATTATCAGTAAGCTTTGAATTAAAAGATAATTAATTGTAGGTTAACAGGTATACACTTGGCTTTTACATTATGATTGTCATCTAGGAAACCATGGAGAGTAAGTAATGTAATATTCCATGCATTTCTGTTCCTTTGAAGTCCTGCAAATTTAAAGAGAAAGAACACAAAACAAAAATTAAAATTGATTTTATATAGCACCTCTTGTTAAGCTATTGAGTTTCTTATGTGCTTTCCAAAGATGCAGCACTGCTAGCAAATTAGTTTTTCCAGCCAACAGCTTTCATAGTCTTCAATGTGGTGTTCTGGAGATAGAAATTGTAGGCAAGTATAGAAAGGATGGGTCACACCTTTAGACACATTGTATAAATACTTGTATGCAAACCTGAATAAAAGATATGCCTGAAGCAAGGATAAGAGACTGTTGGCCAGAGCAGCTGGCCAGAGGCTGCAGAAAGCTTGCCCCACATCAGAACCAAAAGTTCCACTGTGAATGGGATAGGTATTTTTGGAGCACTTTAGTAGACAGGAGAACTATTTACATTACCAGAGAGAAAGTTTCTTCCTAAGCTCACATAACCGGTAGCTGATTTATGCTCTGAAACACTGACATTTATTTATATATTTTTATATATATCTATCTATCTCCCCCTTACTCCAAAATGGTTTTTCTCCTGCTTAGCCACATGGGTGTTCTCTTCATGCATATAAATCTCTGATTTTTTTTTTTAATCACACTATCCTTTGCACCTGAGAAATCTTGTGGACATGAGTTCCAAACAGAGTTATGCTTTATCAGTAATGCAACTGATTTGGAACTTGTTAGTTAGTTAGTCAATCAGTCAGTTAGTATTTCTTAGTTTTAAACATCAATGAATATCCCCAGAAAGAGTAAACCCAAGTTCTCTGTTTTACCTCCTTTATTATTTTCTATATTTATGTCTCCCTCTAACCAACACCTTTCTTTCTGCCTTATTATTATTCCTATTTAAGAAGCAAGGGATTTTTGGCAATATCTTTTATTGGACCAACTGTACAGTCAAGAGATATCGGAGACAAGCTATTTTGGCACACAGTGCCATTCTTCAGGTCTGTGCCTATTTAATTTCTCCACATATCTTATTTTATTTAAGTATTTCTGTTTACCTACTAATTTCCATTGCCAATCTTCAAATCTCATCTGTTTCTATCTTCTTTCAGAAAAAAATGACCAGAACTCTACACAGAATTCCAGGCAAGGACACAGCATAAATTCAAAAAATGTCATTTCAGTATTTTTAAGATTTAAAAAAATCTCATTCATTAATATTCTATTGACTTTTGTACCATGTATATATTTTGAACAGAGCTGTTAATTTAACTGTTCACAATGTTGCCTCAGTTTTCCCCTAATTTTAATCACTTTCGAATGCAGCTGCAAAAACAATTAATTCAAATTCTTTCTGCTGATGTGTATTAGGTTTCAGTTGTCAGTACTACACTTCTTCTGTCATTGTGCTACTCATTTATACTTGTTAGGTCCCTCCATTTTCTCACAATTGTCTAGTCTTTATTATTCTAAATCATTTTTTAATCATTTCCAAATATTGTCTCCTCACACTTTATTCATGTTCCTCAAGAATTATATTAAACACCACTTACCCAGAATAGGACCCTAAGGCATTCTACTGTTAATCTTTTGCCATATTGAAAGTTCATTATTTATTCCCACATATGGCATGGCAGGAGGCACAATTGTTGGGACTAAGGATCAGATCCTGTCCTGCCATTTAATGAATGTGAGCCAGGGGCTATAGGTACTGCTAAAAGTGTTCTATATAAGAAGTAGTGCCCGTATATTTGGATTTGAATCTCATTAGAGTTTATATCAAAATGCCTTACCTCATCTGATATCCAAGTCATTTTGTAGGTCTACCTAGATGAGTAAACGAGCAGAGGTACCTGCATTGTTTTGATTTAAGGAAAGGATGACTCAACATTAAATTATGATTGCCATTCAATTTCCCATTACTGACATCTATACCATAAGACAAGTAGTCCCTGTATATCTTCCAAGAAAGTAGCTGTATTTTAATTCTATTGATTAAATAATGGATTTTCATATCCTATCTAAACTTTACTTATTTTGCACCTGGCTGCACACTGTATTTGTTATAGCTTGTTTCTCTTCTCATGGAAAAGAATTCAATCCAAGATGCAATTCCATATTAATCAGCCAACTGTGTTGCCAATTGCATTGCGAACACCAATTAACTCTTATGACTGCAAATACAGAAGAGGATTTGCACTTTCTTTAAGCTATATACAGTATAAATACAAATGCCAATTATGCATTATGCAAATACAAATGCTGAAATGTGTATGCTTATATTTAAGAATCCCAAGTAGTGCCATTGCTTTCAAAGGGATTTAAAAGTTAAGCCCATGTTTCAGTGTTTTGCTGAACAGAGACCACAGGGACAATGAAATATCTCCAGGTTTGCATACAAATTCCAAGTACTCTGTATATGTTTGTTTTCTGATACTGACTTTTACTTCTGTATTCAGATAAACTTCTGCTGTTCTTAATGAGGAATCACATACCTGTAGATGTTGTAATGTTGCATAAAATTAGTGGAGTTACATTTTCAAAAGATGGGTACATTATTAAAATTATTCAAATTGTGTTATTAATCATATGTGAAATCCAGAACATTCTTGGAAATTATGTTTCCTTTGACCAAAATTTCTCCAAATTATACTATTATAAGCAGAATTTGCAAGTGCCTATTCAAAAATTTAGTATTAAATGATCACAGACTTCAGAAAGACAAGATACCAGATAGACATTAAGTATTAAACTACAGTTTAAGCAAGGGTTTCTCGTAATTGTATAAAACCAGACTGTAAAGTATAACAGAATTACAGAGTACATGAAATACAAGAAAAATATAATCTTCAGATATATTTGGGGTATTTTTAAATATATGACACATAATAAACACAATAAACTAAGCCAAAACCTACTCAATGATTTATATTACTTTCTTTTACTAATACATTTCTCACATTTTTTAATAAAACAGTAAGCCTGGGAATTTAAACAAAATCTTGTTTTGCAGTATAGTCATTAATAGCCTTTTCAACCAGCTATCTTTTTTCAAAACAGCATGATGTTTTGAATCATGATGATGACTTTAATGAAACTCTCAGGCCTAAAAACTGAGCACCGCTTTAAAGATGCAGAGGTAAGTTTCCTAAATATGACATCATCCACAAAATACAAAGCTGTAAAAGCCTCTAATTTATAAGACTATATCAAGCATGCATATTTAAAATATATTCAATGGATAATGACAAAAAATCATTGTTCCCCAGTGAAAAACAAGACTCATTTCATGGCTGTAATACCAATGGTTCCATATTTCAATATGAAGTATATATCATAATTATGCAATATTGTGTTTTAAAACTGACCAAAAGATTTTACAGTTCTTTTGAATGTCAGAGAGACTCTAGGATACCCAAAATTTCATTCATATCCCAGTCCACTTCAGGAGGAGCAAGCTAAGTTTATAAGACAATTTCTAAAGCTCTCTTCTAATTGGGAAAAACATCTTTGAGCAGTCTTTGGTAAACCTTTTATGCAATTCCTTTTACTAGTTATAGAATTTAAAAGAGCGTAGTCTTTCAATGTTGTTGAACCATTATAGAGAATGGAATGATTCACAGTATGTTTCCTAAACTAGTTGGGAAAAAGGACATAATTTAATAAAATACAGTATTATAGATCTCAGAGTAATTTCTACAGAACCTTGCTGGCTTCATCCCTCGTAATTGTTTAGTTTGGGACGAGTTAAGAGAAGTAATGGGATAAGAAAAGCAAAATCTTTCCAACAATTTTAGATCAATTAATGTACAATTCCTAAAGTTTTTAGTAATACTGGGCATATCTACATGAGACACTTTGTCACCATAGCAATGAGCTACAATGACCCTTAAACTCTTAATTTCAGAGTTTTCCCTGACTTTTCCATCTCTCATTCATTTAATGGAATGAAAGAAAAGCAAAACCTGAATAAAAGAAAAGAAAAACCTGAATGAAATACCAAGTTCTAGAAATTTTCAGTATTTGGTATACTGGAAATTAAACACAAACACAATAGTATTTGCTAATACATGCATCATGATATCTCCCTAAGCACCCTTTCTATCCTCTTTCAAATCTCTACCCAAACCCCATTTTTAACTTAACTTTCCACTGGTGGCCTTCTTTGATGTATTTTCTCCCTTAAGTGGGAATTTATCAGTTTCATTCACAATATGTTTTTTAAATTGTGTGTCTCTCTTCACTGTCCCTGTCTTTGAGTTCGTTTAAGGGTGGTTGTTCATTTGATTTATACTATTATAAGCGCTTCATGACTTGGACCACATCCTTTCTCACTGCTATGAATTCACATTTCAAATATATAGCTGTAGACATACCATATGATTAGGATTCAATACTTATCTGCTGTGTGTGCCTTGTGAAAATTTACTTAAGCTGAGAACTACGCCCATTACAATTAATATTCCCTGAAGTAAACCTCCTTGCAATGTTTTTCTAAAGGAACAAGAATTTGGAGTGGACAGCAGGGGATTTTTAGAAAATGATTGACTACAAAGTTTGCTGTGAAAACTCCTGTACTAGAACAGTCTTTCATATACAACAAGAATAGTTTATGGAGAGCAATTGCTTTTATCAAATACTTACATCAAGAGCCACAGATTGTTTTGCCCATGATTTTTTCACCTGGTCATACATTATTGTGTTGTTGATACCCAGGCCACAAAAAATAACAAAAGCCTAACAAGAAGAAAAGAATTAAATTAAATTAAATTACCAACACAAAATGAATGTTGATTTAGTTATTTCAAAGAACAGGATGAGAAGCAAACTAGAAAACAAATATAAAATGATAGAAATATATGGTAATTGTGTTTATGGCAGAGATATGTTATCTGAAGGTCGTTGTCTCAGACATAAGAGAAGAAAGATGAGATACCAAGGATGCTGTTTAATTTGGCTGCAACTTTTAACTTAGCCAGATCCTTCATGCAGAAGGGGCGCCAGTGGTGGTGGCAGTGGATGTAGCTACCACAGTCACAGTGGCTACTGTGCATCTTGGGACAAGGGGCTGCACATCAAGTAAGCACTTGCTCTGGTGGAGGTAAGCAAGTGGCAGTGGATCAGGTGCCAAAAGGCAAGCAAAGGAGGTGTTGGCAAAGCCCTTCCTCAGCCCCATGGCCACCAATGGCCATATTTACTGGAGCCTCAGGTCCCTGGATTCTGTGGCAAGCCAAACCCGACCACTAATCATGCCCCCAATTCTCTGAACAGCTATAAGTCCAGCAGGCCAGAAGGAATTGTTTGATGGGCCAGATCTAACCTGCTAGTAGTATATTTTACACCCCTGACTTCATGTCTCGAGGAACAACTAGCAATAACACATACAATGCACATCTTTAATTGTTTTAACCTGGTGAGGAGCTGCTATCGACACACTATTCTGCCACAGCTGGGCCCCAGACTACTATTGATATCCCATTGCCTTCCTTTCTTTCAGGGCTAAGGGGATATTAAGCAAGTGTTCATTTTAAAAATATCATTCCTTTGCCCTTTAGCCATAGAGATTTTTGATATGATAAAACCCCAATTTGATGGTCTTATTACTGTCATTTTTACATAGCTTCTGACCTAGAAAATGTAGGAAAAAAAAATCTAAAAAAAAGGTACCAGTGAGGATGTTTAATGATTATCCAATTTAAGTGAAGTTACATAAAAGACAATTATAATGCCTTTTCTTATTTGTTTTTGTTTATAGAAAAGCCAGGGTGCAAGCAGATATCGCCCTTGTGCCTCCCTAAAAAATGTAATGGCAGAACAAGTTGATAGTGAACAGATGTCCTTGCCCCTGGTAACGCTCCAATTGCCTGAAAATGTTTGTGCAAAGCTAGTTGTTTGTGACACTTTAAAGGGGAGGACAACTGTTCAATTACTGCATGACCTGAGAAGTGCCCTGTAGGATTCCCCAGCTTGCAGATGTGTACCTGGGTTGGGATGCTGCAGTGTGAAATGTGTGCTCCAGGAATCCCCTTCAGGGGACTCCTGGGGTAGGTCCAGGGAACCCCCATGGTGGTTTCCCCACTTGCGCACCCTCAGTTGGGGCTCAGCAGCATGAAACCCGTGTCCCGGGTTGGACCTCTAAAGCCCTGGGAATGGCAGGGACCTGACTGTGCAGGAGAACAGTCCTGGTGACATCTGTTTGTACTGTTCAACAGCATTAGCTTTGCTGGGACACCACTAACTGATGGGGCAACAAAACAATGGCTATTTGTACTGTAGGTGCACAGAACTTATGCTGATAAAATAGATGGTTACCACAAAATGAAGTACTTCTTACCTCAAATAGTCTCTGATCGGCATCATCAAAAGGCTTCCCATCAAGCCTATTCAGCACTTGAGCTACGCCTTTAAACAGAGTTGTTAAAAAAAGTTTATAATATATGTATATAAAATTTATCATGCAGAAATTGCTGTCCATTACCAATAATTAAAATATGTTTTCACTGAAAAACAAAACTTAAAACATTCATGATGGAAAAAATAAACAAATGTTAATATTTGAAATATTGATGATTTCTTGTGATTCCTTTATCCAGGGAATATATAACTTTTAGGGATTGTCTTCACTCTGCAAGTGCCATATTTGCTACTTTACACAGTATTGCATATGTTTTGCATGGAAGACTAAGGCCCAAATTCAGCAAGGTATTTAAGCTGCTTAAGCAGATGTCAAACTAGGAGGAGCTATGAAATACCAAGGACTAAAGGACTTCAAGTTACTTATGTAAATTTGCTGAATCAGTGGCTTAAATTTAGCTAATTTACTATGACCTACATATAAGTCTCTTTCCCCCATGACTGGTCCAACTATTTGTTTAGTCACTTAATACATAATTCTATTAAGCAACTTGAAGGAAAAAAATCTATTCAAAGCTGCTGGCTCCAAATTAATAATATTGTATTCCTTTGCAAAACTCTCTTCGCAAAACTGTCTTCCTTCTGTTTTACTCATCTACCGTATACCCAAATAAAAATACTGTAATGTTTACCAGTATTTTGCATACAGAATTTTTCTTCAGCTTCTTTTGATGGATATACACTAGATAAGGGACATAAGCCATATTTTTATAAACTACAATCAGCACATTTGCTTTGGTTAAGCAAACACAAAGAACATGATCATATGGTGTACGGAGTTCCCTCTGTGGAGTACACTCCCCAGTGTCATCAACTACATGTCATAGCATCTGGTTATGTCCTCAACTAGTGTAAACTGTTGTAAGACCATTTACTTTAACTGAGCTATGACAATTTATACAAGTTGAGGACACAGCTCAAACTTTTCAAAGAGCTACCTTTTTGTGTGTAAAATCAAGTAGTTGTATGTCTAATCCTGAAAGAAGACAGTGAGGACCTTGTTGGGTTAGACGAGGGGTGATTAACCACTAGTGCATGGGCCAGATCCAGCCCCCAGTGTGGTGTCATCCAGCCCCCAAGGGGATCCCAATAGCTCCTGTATGGAACCCCATGGGCCATGGCTCTGCTTGCTAGATCTGGCATGCAAGCAATATGGGGCCTGATCCCAGCATGTGGAGGTGGTAGGGGGCTCCTAGAACCCAATAGTGGGTAAGCAGAGGCAGCACAAAGCCCTGTGCTGTCTCCACCCAGCCGGGATGGGCTCCAGCTAGGTGGAAGGAGTCCAGGGCCCTCGGGCCTGATCCTAGCACATGGAGCTGACATGGGTGACTGGAACCAATCCAGGGCAGGCATGGGCAGAGGGGATCTTAATTTGGCTCATGGACTCACCCTGTACCATTTGTTTGGCCCACAGGGCCAAAACTGTCAGCATGACTGGATAAAACCAATACCTACCCAATCTACATGGAAACATGAAAACTGTCAGAAGAACCTACCAGGTTGTCTCTCTTTCACTCTGAGTTTCAGGAAATGGATTATTATTACAAGTAAGATAACAATGAAGAAACTGGAAAGCTTAAAAAAGAAATCCATACAGTATCCAAGTCAAAAAATGTCTTCCCCTATACTTAAAATGCATTGTAAGTATTATAAATTTTAATAATATTAAACTGTGGAAAAGAAGGAAAAGGAATGCAGCATTAAGAAGATGGAATTAAATTTACATTAGCACTATAATGGCACAAACAGCTATGAGGAGTATACTTACCAATTATCTGGTGATTGCTATTCCATATAGGAACACAAAGAACAGACCTTATATGAAAACCAGAAATCTGGTCAGCCTAGGATGTAAAAAATGAGAATTTTAGCCATTGATACAGTATCTAGTTAGTTATTTACAGCCTTCTGAAGTTCCAGTAATAAAGTCATGGAGGACTTCAGTATGAAAACATTTACAAATCCACCTGGCTCACATCATGCTGGCCTTTCAAGTAAAAGCTGAGGAATATTATTTGTATGAAAATAGCGAGCAATTTTTAATACCAACTACTTGCTGGAAAAAGCTTCTACTTGAACCTTTCCAAATATATAAAGAACCCAAAGGCCTTGCTTCAGAAACCTCATGGTATTTGACGACTGATTTGAACCTGGAAGCTGCAAGTAGGAGAGGAACAGTAAAAAAAAACCTTGGCCATACCCTGTTCACTCTCCCTTTCAGCATCCACTCTTTGCTACTGTGAGTTAAAATCCATCAAACAGATTTGAAGCAAGGACCCGATGTCCTCTTTAAAAAATTAATCTGAGATTGGCTTTGAAAAACAGACAAACAGAAAGAGACAATACATAGGTAAAGCCATATTTGCAAAAAGAAGGTAAGAAATGAGCAGGGAACTTTCTGGGAGGAAAAAAGGCAGCTTCAGGAGGAACTGAGGAATACGGTCAAAAGGAGAATCTGAGATTTCCTACATAAATGATACCTGTAACTATAATATCTCCTTCTTGCTTTAAGGTGATAGGCCATGGTATGAAATACTGTGATCTACTTTTAATGCAACTAATTCTTCACTTCCTATGCTTTATTCTTTATAATTATTGTCACAAGATACCTCAAGATAAGTGATTCTTGAATATCTGAAGAGACTTGAGAGAAGGCCAAGAAGAAAGGCTTACCCCAGTCAAGACAGAGGCATATCTTACTAAGTGCTATTCTAATATGGCAGAGGTCCAATGTTTGTAAGTATCTACACATGTGAACTACTCACTGAAATCAGAAGAGAGTGCTACATGAAATTCAGCATAAGACACTGCTCTATTAGACATGATTTTTCTGTTAAGAAACGAGTAATTTTATTTAAGTAGATGAAGGAATGTGTGATATATCCTGAACTCGGACTAACAAACTCTGACTATAACTAAAAGCAAACTTCAAGCATTCATGGGTTACTATCTAACAATAGGCTTTTTGACATTTTTTGACATACAGTGAAAATACATATCTTTTTTGTATTTTGAAATATTTTAGATATTTATGATCACATATTTACAGAGCTGGGCCAGCCTCAAGCAACTCAGATGGACTCAGTACAGATGAAAACGGTTTTACATAAATATTTCCTTTGCCACAGTAGTATTTCCTGGATTATTTTTTTTCTATATAGTTACTATATTACAAGTAAACACTACTGAGTTCAACTAAGTTATACCAGGCTCCTCCAGCTCTATAAATTTGCTCTCCTACCTTTATAAGCATATGGAATGTTTTATATAAAAGGGTTTCATATTGTTCCAAAAAGCTATATATAATCTCACGTACGTACAAGATGTAAAATTTAGGATTTTTATATAGCAATCATAAATAAGTTATAGATTCATTTTTTTTCTGTGAGGTAAATTTGCGTAAGATGAAATGTTATGATTTATGTCCAATATAATGCAAGTTTTCTGCGGAAGGGAAAAGAAGAAAAGAAGATCCTTCTATATTTCATTTGCTATCTGAGTTTTGCAGATCTTGTTTTGATGTAGGTCTTAAAATATTTATTAATAAAACTGTTCAATGAAAAAATGGTTTGACAATTAAACATTTCTTTGAAGATCTAAGTTAGCGTAGGGAAGGGTGAGTGTGTTTTTGTAAGTGTAGAGGCAGAACAACAAGATAAGTGTTCCATGCATTGTTCTATTTTACTTTAATGAGTGGTGCACCTGATTGTTTTTAATAACCTGATTGTCTGATGTCATTTCTAACAGTGGTTTTGAAGATTAAATGCTTATGTTCATACCAACATATACAGTGATTCACAGTAATCTTTTTCTATGTAAGTCAGGCAGTATCACTCAGTGTCTAGAATTTTAGTAAGTTTGAAACAAATATGGTATGGCTGCATTAGTAATTAGATCATGACATAATGAAAGTGTAACTACAGACACATCAAGGATTGGTGTGTTTTACTTCAGCATCTCTCACTGAGCAGCCTTTGGGTTGTTGGGGCCCTGGGCAAGAGTCATTTGGGGCCCCTTAGAGGTAGGGGTGCACCGATAGAGATTTCTGAGGCCGATACCAATAGCTGATTTTTAAGGAGACATATTGGCTGATACCAATCCAATTTCTGATATCAGCCCGGCAGCCTG